AGTGCAAAATGAGAATGAATCTTCCCCGAGAGGGCGCAAGATTCATTCTCATTTTGCACAGGCAAAATCAATCCGCGCGGCCTCTCTCTCTCTCTCTCTCTCTCTCTCTCTCTCTCTCTCTCTCTCTCTCTCTCTCTCTCTCTCTCTCTCTCTCTCTCTGTGTTACATGCTGCACCTGCACACGGGCCCCATTTGAGGGGCCCGACAGTTGCTGAGGGCCCCCCAGGCCGCGTACCATACAGCACGCGCCCTGGCGGCCCACGGCGGGCCTCCAGGCCCTAGGTAGCACACTAGTTAGATAGGTTTAGTTTTACTTACCTTTTTGTGTGTGTGTGCTGTCTTATTTTTGTCTGTTCAGGTGCTGTTTCGGACTTGCAGCCCCAAGGCCGGACCTTGGGACTGGGTACAGTGGAGGCAGGCCCGAAACGAGGCCAGGTGCATTTTGGCGCCAGACCGGTAGGTGCAGACGTCGTTTCGGTCCTGCAGGTCCCAAGGCGACGCCTTGGGCTAGGTGCACAGGAACGGGGCCGTTTTTAGGCCAGGCGCATTTCTGCGCCTTGCTGCATCAGCAGCATGGGCTGGACGTCCGGTAGGGACCCAGACCAGCTGGGCCGTTTTCTGAGGCCAGCATCAGGTAGGCCCAGCCCGCCCAGCGCTAGAAATAGCTGGGCAGCGGCTGGGCAAGGACAGTGGAGTAGCTCACTTCTGGAGCGACACGCTGCTGGTTGGAGGCAGCGTTATTCTGCGCTACACTACGGAGTAGGGAGTAGCGGCATAGGAGGTAGAGAGAGGCGGAGGCCTTACCTGCAAGCGGCGAGCTTACCTGGCGCCATAGCCGGGCTCCACTCGGTACCTGCACACGACGACGACCACAGTCAGTACGGTGACAGCTACCTGCAGGTGAGACAGCAAGGAGGACGTCATCTTCTTCTTCTTCCTCCTCCATCTCTCTCTCTCCCTCCTCCTTTCTCCTTCCTCCTCCTTATCTTCTTCTTCACATACGAGAGTGAGAGAGGACAGGCAGAGGTTATGCTGGGCACATTACCCAGGATCTGATTCAACATTTCTGGGACAGACATTGATTGGACACTCGGCAAGGGACTATTGTTTTGGGACTTCGCTATCGCGATCTTGGTCTACTACCTCGCCTCCTTCTCCTTCGTCTCGTCCCTTCCCCCCATCTCTCATCCATGGTATCTCCCCATGTATGTGTGTGAAGGAGGGACCTTTCTCCTGTGATTGCGGTCCCTCCTCCCCTCTCACATGTGTGAGGTATGATGGATGTCGGGTCAGTTCAGGTCAGATCAGATCTTATCTTTAAGTCTTCCACTGTGCCACTTTGTGCCATCTTGTATGTATCGAAATGTACATTGCTTGTTGATGCTACGCTGGCCTTGCATTGTCCATTTCAGTCCTTCTCATCACATTGTGGATCCTTGGCTCCCTACGCATTGTCCCATTGGGCATGCGTCACACACACACACACAC